TCAGGAACGGCAGGCCAGTATCGGTATCAACCCGTTCTACACCCGGGGGTACGTCGCATGCTCCGCTTGCAAGTGCTCCCACCATCCAAGCTGGTTCTCCCCCGCCCAGCGACTGCGTCGGCAACCCATCTGCGTCGGATGGGAAGGGATGCTGCGAATCTGCCCGCATACCCTGCTTTCTTGGCCACGTGTCCAGGGCTGGATAACTGCAGGGTCCGGCGGGGAAAGGTCTGTCTTGCGTTGCCGGCAGTGTGCTGATGCGTTCGGGCGACACAGCCAGGCTCCCGAAGTCACCTACGATCCCCCACGGACAGAGGGTGCTGCAGGCGAGTTGAGGCTTCAATGGAAGGCGCCTGTCCACACTTTATCAAACAGGGAGATCCTCACCAAGGATGGTATCCGCAGAGCGCTCGAGCGATTCGATCAACGGCATCCGGGGTTGCTGTGCCCACACGTCTCGTTCGATTTGGAGGAACTGATGAAGGTGTTTTACTGGCACCGGTGTGTCTGCTTCAGACAGCCGTCGGCCTTGTCGCTGGAGTACCACAAGAGCGACGCGAGAGACGGCTTGCCATGTTGGTGCTGCGCAACCCAGAACACAGGCGACGAACGGCGCGTGGGCAGATTCCCGTTGAGCCATGCCATAACGCGCCACTACACGTGGTGTCGTCAGTGCTATTACCGTTACGAGTGGACATCGGACGGCAAAAGGATCTACTTAAGCGGCTCTCTGCACTCGATAGGCGCCAACTCCGAGATCTCGACGGACAAAAACGGGCACATTAGCAGACGGAGGCCCTCGAGTTACTGGCTGAGGACGATGGATCCGTCAACGTACCAGCAAACGGAGGAGTGGCCCCATTTGAGATGGTGTCCGGATAAGACCTGTGCGAATTCAACCAACACGAACTATTGGTATTGACGTGGAGCGTTTCCCGAGAGTATGTCTGCGTGGGGTAGGTTGTCGTTCTTGTATCAGTATTGATGTGGGAGGTCCAGAGGTGGGCTAGTCGTTCCGACGTCAAGTTGGGAGGTTTAGCTATTCGGGCGGGTAGGTCTGATTGCTCGACCGCATCGTGACTGTGGACGACAAGGACGACCACAAGGATAACGACATGGCGAAAAGTCTCGGGAGGATTATGACCATAAATGGTTGAGATAATTCATAATCTAGTTGTAAGATTGTGTATAAATGTCATGGTACCCGTATCCAAACCGCCCAACGCCAGTATTATGCTCAAAAACATCGCTGATCTAAAAGACTTGGCTACCCCATCTAATCATCTAATTCCCATCTCTCTACCAGTTGAAGCTCTCCTGGAAGTACTCGATCCTAGAGTACCCCCGTCCAAGCATCTCAACAACGCTCTTCCGCGCGTCGTCAGCCATGACGTTCGGCCCGCACGCCACGACCGCGAGCCGGCTCTTCTCGGCTGCGGTCGCGGCGTCCTGCACCTCCTCCCTCACATCCGGGCGTCCGTACATCAGCCTGACGTGCTCGGGCCAGTCGTCGGGCCGCACGGCGTTCGTCGCGAGGCTCGTCTGCGTGACGTAGATGTCCACGGCCAACTTGCCGCTGTCGAGCGCGTCTTCAAAGTCCTGGCGGAGGACGTCGGCGGCGAAGCTCAGCTCCCGGACGGCCCAGACGATCTTGACGGAGCGGGCGCGGGAGGCGGCGCGGCAGAGGTGCTGGAGGTGCGCGAGGGGGACGACGACGCCGCTGCCGCCGACGACGAAGAGCAGGTCGTCGAACTGGGAGAAGGGCTGGGTGTGGCCGTAGGGGCCCTCGACGAAGACGCGGAGGCGGGCGGGCCGCGGCCAGGGGGCGGCGGCGGCCTCGCGGAGGCGGGCGGTGAAGCTGTCGTAGGGGCGGATGAGGAAGGTCATGGAGGGGGTGCCGGTGCGGGGGTGCAGGTCGACCTCGGACATGGGCTCGACGGGGTTGTCGTCGGAGGCGACGAGGAGCGGGGTCTGTTCGGAGGAGAACTTGCGGGTGTGGTGGGTGTTGAGGGTGGTGCAGGCCATGGTGAAGGGGTGGCTTTCCCAGGCGCGCTTGTCGGAGAGGACGTGGAGGTAGTAGTAGGTGCCGGGCTTGGGCTCGTAGAAGGAGGTGGGGTAGGGGATGCTGAGGCGGACGATGTTGGAGGTGGCGTCGTAGGTTGCGAGGGCGAAGGTGTTCCAGAACTTGAGGTTGAAGGCGAGGGTGCGGGACATGCGGAGGACGCGGTCGGCGACCCAGATGTAGAAGGGGATCCAGAAGAGCATGTCGAACTGGTGGTTGAAGATGGAGACGTGGCCGAGCATGGTGACGAGGGTGAGGATGGAGAGGAGGATGTGGAGGACGAGGAAGAGCTCGTACTGCTTGCGGCGCATCCAGAAGACGGAGGCGAGGAGGAGGAAGACCATGCCGAAGGTTGCCTGTGGGGGTCAGCGATGGACGAGTTGATGATGCGGGGGAATACTTACAAACCAACCGGCCCACCAGAACATTTGCGTGAACCACCAGAGGAAGTATGTCCAGCCGCCCTCACTTAGGATGAGGATGATGTAGGCAGCGGTGTGAATGACAGCCTGGACAGTCGCAACGCGAGCAACCCAGCGGTGGAAGTTGTTGTACGTGCCAAAGTCCCAGCCGGTCACCCACATGAGGAGGTTGTTTCTCATGCCAAACAGCCAGATGATGGGGAAGTTGGCAAAGGAGATGATGCCGGTTCGGTCGGCGACGTAGCGGCCGATCTGCTTCGACATATCCGGCCAGCTTCTTGAGTCAGTACAGGACTGAGATGGTGAAAGGGGTCGACCTACTACATGTGCCCTTCGAGGAGGGAATAGCCGTAACAACAGTACCACGTGTTGACGGCGATGAAAGCAAAGATGGTGATGCTCTGGATGCGCGGCGGTATCGTGCACCACCCCAAGTTCTGCGAGCAGCGGTAGCCAAAGGTTGCCGGGATGGTGATGTATCGCTTGAGCCAGAGCGCAGCCCAGTGCAGCACATTGGGCTTCTTCTCCGAGTCCCACTCCTGGCGCTGGAGACTGGCGATGGCTCCGACAAGACGAGTCGCCAGACCGATAGCGCACACAATGATCCAGAAGACGATAGCATAGAATCTGGGATTTTGTCAGCCGAGCTTCGTCGACTCGAGGTGATGCACGTACCCATATCGATAATGCCGACTGTAGGTATACTCTACCGATTCCAAAGAATCATACCAAATCTGGTAAAACGGCTCCGCGGGCAGCACAACCTCGCTCAAGATAGTCTCCGCCGTGCCCTCCTCCTTCGTCAGCCTCCTCAGGCCCTTGATCTCCTCCTCCGAGTACCCTCCGATAATCTCCAACGGCGGCAGCGACACGTTCATGTACTGCTGACATGTCGCGTTCTGCATGCCCAGCCCAGCATCCCGGTGCGGCGCGTCGCAGTGCAGGTGCGTGCAGAGGTACAGCGACTTGATGTGCAGAAGACTCTTGCACGATTGCGGGAGCTTCGACTTGGCCGGGGCGGTGTCGTTGAAGTGCGTCTGGCGGATGGTGTTGACGCAGGTGTCGTAGCAGAGGCCGCCGACGGACACGGTGGAGGCGGCGACGGAGGTGGCGAAGAGGAGCGCAGTCGCGGCGACGACGGTGAGATTGAGTCCCGGTCCTGGTCCTCGTCCTCGTCCTGTCGCCGAGGACGGCGATGACCACGGTGCGCGCATCACGGTCGGGAGCTTCGCATCTGATCGCTCGGGCCGTTGGCGGAGGTTGCTGTGATATGCGAGCTGCTGGCGACGGCAGTGGTGATGATGCGAAATGCCTTTGGAGGGGTTGGTTGGAAATGTCTGGAGCGAGTTGCAAGGGGACGCAGACGCAAAGGCTGGGCGGCTCACGGCAAGTGGGAAAGAAAAGGCGAGGTGAGGTGCCTCGGGAGGGACTGCTCGGTGCTCCGAGGGATTGAGGGAAAATGCTACTGAAGGATTCGGGGGTGGGAAAGTGGTGAAATTTAGGATCTTATCAGATCATCTGATTAAGCGTCCCCACTGGCTTAGGTTATCGCGATTATCCACCGGCATCGGCACCAGCCCGTGACCTGGCCCCTCTGTGCCGGGTCACCCCTTGAAATGGTGTAGATGCTGCTGTACGCAGTAAGTAGTGTGTTGCGATGGTGCATGACACTCGTGGAGGAGGACAGGCAACCAACTGGGACGGCTGTCTTGGCTGGGCAGAAGAGAGGGGCTTTGCCTTAAAAAGGGCGGCTATCAACCCACCTGACGCTGGCCACGCAGCGTGGTGTCTCACTGTGAGAACCCCACGCATGCATCCCGCCGGCCGCTGCTTTTGAGCGCCGCCGTTTCCGAGACTTAACTTTCAATGAAAATGCACTCAAACACTCTCATAGAAAGTAGTTTTTGCAATCAGCGCCGGCTACTGCGCTCAAACGTCCGATAATGCCCTCTGAAAGTAAGGCCCGTGATACGCGGGACCACCCGCTAAGCTTTCGGGAGCCCGGCTAACAGACGGGAAACCTGCGCTTAAAGTCACCCGCCATCACGGAACTCACTAGGGCCTTTATTCTCCCTCCAAACGAATTTCTGGCTCTTCAATTCCAACGCCTAATGCATCCTGTATGAAATCCATTCAATACCACTCCAGGGCTCTGTACCTAAGTAAAGCAGCAACGACCCATCAAATGCCCCCTCAGTCCACTCCCGGGAGCAGCAACCGAGCAGGGCCTACCCTTGGAGGACCACTGTGACTTCAGCGGTGCCCGCTCTCCCCCGCCGGCGGTTCAAGGACCTTCCCTCCCGCGCTCCCGTTGACACATCACCACCCGCCGAGTCGGAACCGCCGCGTCTCCGATGTTCGTCCCATTCTCAACCACACGTCACGAGCAATTTTCGTCCAGACAGCACACAAAAGTTCGGGGTGAATGATTGAGAAATTCCGGGCATGAGTCACCACGCATCTAAGCACCGCGACTGCCACTTTTTCAATACAAAATGAATTTACAAGTGTCCCTTTCAAATCCACCCGCCACTAACAGCCTCCCCATCCCTGCTCGGTCTGCCAGGCGAATTCAACGGCGGCGGCACCAGCCCTTCGGAGCCCCTCTCAACGTAATTTCCAGTACTATACATCGACGAAGTACCTCTCCCTTGATCAAAAACTTCCATATCATAGACTCCCGGGCTCATCGGCGGTCGCGGTGGGGCAGGAGGCGGCGGCGGGGACTTGGGCGGCAACCCGCTAACCATGTACGGCCCCGAGATCGCCATGCTGCCCCTCCGATTAAGCCCCGTGAACCCCTCTCGTTTCTTCTTCTTTTTGTTCCATATGTACAAGTACACGACCCCGCCGGCGAGAAGGCCGAGGAACGCGAGGGCGCCTGCGACGCTGGCTGCTATGGCGCCCTTTGAGGCTTCTTTCTGCGGTCCCTGTGTCGATGTTGGTAGTGAACTCGTGGTTGCTGACGATGGTGTCTCGGATCCCGTGAGAATGTTGGACGTGGAATCGACGATGGTGGTTAAGATAGGGCCGGGCAGGCCCGTTGGGGAAGCCAGAAGGTTCCCCATCCCGCTTGTTGAACTGCACTCGTAGAGGGTGAATGTTGATGCATCATCAGTTGAGAGCCAGGTATAGCACGCGGTATCAGGTCGGTATTTGCTGTTGAGCATGTTAGTATCGTGACGCCGAACATGGTTGATGCTCATCTACTCACCAACACAGCTCGCCCTCTTTGCAGCCACCGGCAATCGAGTCCGTGGACGACCCAAGGCATTTTGTCGGTACAGGCGAGCGACAGCCTAGAAATGAGTTTGACGATATGCACGGCCCGGGACACGTCCATGCCTGCTCCTTTGGGGAGATCCTGTGAAGCGCTCAGTACGTGTAGCAAGGATTATAAGGGACATACTGTGGCCTACGTGGGCGCGGAAGTAGGGAGTTCGATGAAGCCGCAGGTGTTCGACTCCTTGGTGAAAGGAAGCTGAGCGGCGGCAGCGCGCTTGGTCGTCGAGGATTGAGACTCCGGGTATGCCATGGCTGCGGCGAAGTGAAATAAGGCAGGACGGACGTAAATGATCAATTGGCAATAGAACATAAATCTTCACGATCCTTTTATCATGAGATATTGACAGAGTTTGTTTGTGCTGTGATTAACTGCAATATGACTTTGAAAGAGAAGATGCGAATACCCTCGAATTGATTCACTGCGGGAGGAGCCCAATCCTAGTGAGTCAGAAAAGAACTGGGAAATGTAGCCTGACGAGTAAACCAACGCGACGATTAATCAATTATGTTTTTCGACGTTGTGTTAGATGCATTCAACATGGCGGTGTCTACCGAAAGCAGTCGGCTAGAGTCCTCACAAAGTTCTGACGCTGCTAAACGAACGGGAGAGGCATTGCCTGCAGAGATGGCAAAGATAACTTCATTGCTCATTGAAACAAATAATTAGATTGGGCTTCCACCATTCGTTGATATCTTTGCTACGTTAGGCCGTTCGTTTCCTCTTCGCCGACTCTGAGGATTCCGTCGCCTTGGAGACAGAAATCTTCTCGCTTTTCTCATCATCGAGCAATTCATCCATCAGCTCGCTCTTCTCGTCCAAGGCAGCCCACTTCGGTCTGCCATCAGGTAAATCGACCACCCTCTGCTTATAAAAGATGTGCATCCTACACACTGTTAGCACATCCGCATTTCACATCGCCTCACCCATCTCAATATCTCAATCGAATGGAAAGTCAAAGATACTCACTGCACATCAAACTTCTCCCTCTTCTCCTCCTCGTCAAAATGCAAAAGCCCCGGAAACAGCAACACCATATTCCTCCCCTCGTCCATGATCCTGCTCCCGCAGTGGCCGCACGACACCTTGCACGGCAGGTCGTGCGAGGTCTTCTTGGAGCCCGAGTTGTAGAACGCGAGCCCGTCTACGCCGCGGTCGAAGGCGAGGTCGGTCTTGTGGAAGATGGCGGCCCACTGGAAGGGCGCGCCGTGCATCTTCTGGCAGTCGCGGCAGTGGCAGAACTTGGAGGCCAGCGGGCGGTCGCGCGAGAGCCAGTAGGAGACCTGGCCGCAGTGGCACTCGCCGCGGATCTTCTTGTCGAAGGGCTTGCCGTCGACTTCGGCCTTGGAGGAGGGGAGGTAGGGGGCGGCGGTTTTCCAATCTTGGTCGAAGGAGTTGGAGCCCATTTTGGAGGTGGAGAAGTGGTGGTGATGGTTTGGGGTGAACTGATTTGATGGTTTGGTATTATGAAAAATTCGGGATGCGATTGGGAGTTTGAATTGGTGAGATGTTGTCGCTTTTGAGTAAAGGAAGGTGGTTGATGGACGGAGGCCGTGACGCGGGAGTGATGACATCACTTTTAGGGGTTCTGCTCGGTTTAGGGTAGAAATGTCTATGATGCCGTTATTCTCGATCTAGAAAAAGCAATGGCATAGATGAGTGTCAAAGGGAGTTTTGATGCACGGACGAGGCTGGTGTGGTTGTGGCTTGAGCTTTTGTTCTTGGGGCCGTTTGAGGTTCTGCACGAAATGCGAGAACGATGGATTATGACAACGGACTTGGCTCAAATAGCTTAAATGAGTGTCTTTTAAGGAATTGATCATTATATATGCAATTTCTGAGATCATTTCAGGGTCATAACCAGCATTTGACAGGACTATGGAGATGGTCTGCCCCTGACGGGAGTGCTTGGACTGGTCATCGAGCCATCATCGATCCGATCTTCTCCACAAACGGCCGGCGAATCAGACGAACCAGGGACCTGAACCTTCCGCACCGCTTAATTATCTTCGTTTCCGCTTTTGGTAAGTAGCTATCAGAAGCACGTGGTCGCTGTTGATTAAATGTTTCATCTTTCTGAAATATGATTCTCTATTGTCAGACTGGATCTTCAACCTGGTGAGAATGGAGTAATTTTTCGTGTAGTTAGATTCCGGTTCTCCTCATGTGAATCACTTACAGGACGGAACAATCCGCAGCATTGGCCGAGCTCTGCTAAAGTTGGCAGAAAACATCAAGCCAAGGTTTCACGTCCATCACTTTCTAGGCGATCCCAGTTTGTCCCATGAGTCCTGCCACCCAGCCAAATATGTCTTCGTCTTCTTGGCCTTTCCTTCCGTCTTCTTTCCACTCGCAATCCGTCCTGCAATTGTAGGGGGTTCGGCGAGATACTTGTCCAACATGGCCGCGGGTGTGCTGTCGCGTTTTCTTTCTCTTTGTTAGCAAGAGTTTTAACTTGGAAGAAATTCGAGCTGATAACTTACCTTCCACTACTACTAGTAGCAGCCGAGTAGTGAGATTGAGAGGGCATAATGAATTTGGCAAAGCTGCAGTCCTACTCAGGGTCGCGTATAGTGAACGTATGGTAACTTCGACTTCAGAGAGATTTATTGATTCGAGTGAGGAATTGTTTCATTTTTCTTTTCTGCAACAGCAAGAACTCGTTTTTATCATAGTTCTGAGAAGACTAGAAGCCATCACCATGGTGCTGGGGCAATGGCACTAGCTCACAATACCGCCATGTGCTGAGCACTTCCCTTGGACACAGACCGGCTCCATCACCTTGCAAGCAAAGCACAAGACTTTCTTGTACACTGAATGGCACTTTGGTGCTTTGCAATATGATTGGTAGACTTTTGGCGATGTGTGAGTGGAGAAATGCGGGCGAATGAGAGGCAAAAGCACGGCGGTGCTTCTCACCTGCAGCCTGATTTGCACCCGTGACCGTACCACAGAATTTCCCATTACTCGGGTCACATTCTTTCGTTTCTAAGATTGACGTTCTATTACTTCAATCTGTTCTGTAAAAATGTGTAAGGCATTCATCATACCCAAGCTCGAAAAAGTCGAATATAATACAAGCACCTCTCTTCTCCCACCCCCCTTCTACGACCCGATCCTTGGTACTCGTAGCTAGACGACACATAAATCAAAGCTGACGACCGCAGCTTGTGCCCCCGCCCCGCCAGCATCCTTTACCAAGCGCGAGAAGATGGTGGCTACGGGTAGACCAAGGCCTGTTAAGTTCAATAGAAGACGCCAGAGAGCGAGCACTCAAATCGACGACTCCAATGATGAGTTTGGACCATCGAGAGCAGAGCAACGACCTAAAGTGTTTGAGCAGTCACGTTGGGCGTGCCCGCTCTGGAAGTTAGATCCGTTGAAACATCACACCTGCTTCTCACGGAGTCAGATCTCGCCGAGGCATGTAAAGACGCATGTGCTCCGAGAGCATGTCGCTGGGCCTAAGTGCGAAACTTGTTCCGCGAGCTTTGTGTCTCGCGCCGAGCTCGAGTATCATCTGACGGAAAACCGTGATCATTCCCGCTCATTGGGTGACGTTTCCGAAGACCAAGATTGCGAGCTTCGGTCAATGGGGAGACAGGCGGCCGGGTCAGATTATTGGTATAAAATGTGGGATATTCTATTCCCGGCACTTCCAAGACCAGAGTCACCCTTTGTGGAGGACCCGAGCCAGTTCCATGCCGGCATATCTTCATTCATCAGAGCAAACCCGGACCTCCATAACCTGACGGCGGTGCAGCTGATGGAAAGCCTTCTCAAGTTTGGGAATGGTGGGTTGAGTTCAGAATCCTTCCCCCAAGGCACAACAACCTACCAGCCTGCTTCTACTGCACCATATACGGCCACATCCGAAAAGACCAGACAGGTGCCTCTATTGCATCCCTTGCAAAAGAGCGTTGTGCCCCCCACTGACTCCGGGTACGGTTCGAGAATCGACGTTGCTGCTTCTACCGGGTTCCCTCCAGGCTACTCCGCAGGAGAGACCAATAACGAATACGACCATTTCGAAAACGATGTGATGACATCATCCTCAGAAGAATTGACGATGGCTCACTCTCATCTCTACATACAGAAACTTTCCCGCGCGATATCTCATCATCTCGGACGGTTCCTACATCCGGAAAACGTGTCAGATATTCGGGCGGAGCTCCCAGAGATCATCAGAGCTTTTGCAATGCGGATAGGGTACGAATCAGATACATCTGGCCATCGACATGTGATGTGTTTTGTTCGAAAACACTGTCTGTAAGCTTAATGTTTTCTCCAATGCAAATTCGAACTCAAAGTATGTTTACTAATACCGCGGACAAGTCCCATCGTCAACCACGTGGTTGCTGCTGTCGCTGCTGGCTCTCCTCAAGATCAAGGATCGACTTCTTGCCAGGCAAGCCAACAAAACATGAACTACCTAGAGAAAATGAATATTCTATGGGCTCTCCCGGACGAAAACGTACAGCCTCAGCTTCAAGAGACCATGTTCGAAGGGGTTGAAGGCGAAGTGGAGGACGACACCTTTGATATGGAACCGAATGACTACAACAACGTTGTTCATCGAAGCAAGGCTTTCAGCTGGTTGATCGCAGATCTAAAAAGACTCTCCAGTCTCGAAGGGAGCTATGGCGATTCAGACCAGCCAAACGGCATAAGAAGCAACCGACAATTGGTAATTCGCACCTTTCAACCCGGCAGCGTTAGCAGGATGGAAGCACCGCAGAAACAGACTGCACACTTCAGGTTGTTTGAATGGGCAGAGACTTTCCAGGCAGGCAACGGTTTTGATTCTGTCGTCGCCACTTGCCTATCTGGTAACGCACAAGCAACCTCAATCAAGCATTATATGGCTCAGACATGGCCCTCAACTGGGCCCCAAATCTTCAGCCTATTGCAGGAAATCATCGAAAATGTTGACAGAGAGCGGACAGGAGACCTGACACACTACATTCTGCAAGAGAATACTGAACTTACGGTCAATGTCAATGGATCTTTTCTTGTCCTGACTGTCAGGGGAACATCATACACTATTGCAGAATTCGGAGAGCAGATAGCATGGCTTTGGTCTGCTGTCAAAAGCCCACGAAACAACACGCCTCATAGCTACACACCAATCGTGGCTGTCGCGGCGTCCCGTTTCAACTCGGGCTCTCCTGACGTGGTGACAACAAACTCGCATGCGATGTGGTTTGATATTAAATTCTTCAGTAACCCGACAGAATCGGACATCGACGAGGGACTTGCCTGGTCGAATATCCTTGGTAGGAGAGCGGCCGTGCTCACTGCGTACCCCATACCCCGGAGGCCAGCTGGATTTCCAGGGCTGGAGTTATCCTTCAAATTACTTCTTCAGCTTTCAGGAGGACGGAAACCGATCAGCGGAGAACGACAGATCTTGATTCAAGGAGGGAAAATGAATCTGAGCTTAAGCAAACGCCTTGGAGATTGTTTTGCATGGCATAGATTGCTCCCGAATGGCGACGTGTGTAGTGATTGCGGAGAGCAAGCTGGCCACTGCCGAGTTTCGACCAAGTTCTCGGAATTGCAACATTCATCGGCTCGACATTTTGTCTCCAGATGTGGCTTAAGGACTTCGGATGATTTTGGTCAGTACAGCTTTTCAAGTATCACTAATCTTGTTCGGGCACCTGTAGGATCAAAGTTTTGACTTTGGCTTTACTGTGTTGTCCGCGTTCCGACTTCGGAGCAAGCTGCGAAAGCCCCAAAGCCCCTGTCATCATTGCGTTTTCTAATCATGAAGTAGCAGATTGTCATTCGAGCCCAATGGATGAAGATATACGTAGTCTCGATGCGGCAACTGTGCAGTCTCTGCAGCAGGGTTATTCTAAACATGCAAGTCACAACAGCGACGGCACCACAGACTCCTCCTCGTTGGACTCCGATTCCTTTTCTATGCCGGATACCTCAACTGAATTCGAGTTATCTGACTTATTTCACATGTCACCCATGATCAGAAAGGCAGCTGACGCATTGCTGACCCAATATCGGCTTGTCACTTCCACTGGAAATTCATCTGGAAGCAATAATAAGCAGAGCTCTCAGGAATCGACATCCATTCTTTCGTCTGCTTCTCAGCGATGTCAATATACAGGTACCATTGGGCTACCAAAAGAAGGTCGAAAGAGAAAGTCGCAACAGATCGACGATCGCGATGAGTCCGACGAGGAGAGATCGGCCCAACAGGTCTCGAAGAAACCCAGATTGCAACCTCCTAAACACCTGGCTTGTCCTTTCTGGAAGTTTCAATCATCTGCGCATCGACCTTGCTTCAGCCTTAAACTAAACCGGATTCGCGATGTAAAACAGCACCTCAACCGGAAACACACTCCAGCATATTACTGCGACCGTTGCTGCACAATTTTCGAGACAGAGAATAAACTTCGCGAGCACGTATCACATCTCGCGGGATTGTTTTGCGATCCATCGGCATCTCTAGGAGGTATTTCGCGTGGCCAACATTTTCAGTTGACACGGAAATCGGACAAAAGCCTTTGCGAAGAAGAGCAGTGGTTTGCTGTTTGGGATATCGTATTTCCTGGACACAAAAGACCATTGTCTGCTTATCTCGAGTCAGAAATTGTCGAAGATGTTTATCTGTTCCAAGACTACTGTCGTAATCATGGAGCTGCTGTTCTGTCCACGGTAATTCAACCCGAGAACCCGTTTTGCCCAGCCGCTGAAACGGACGCGGACTCCCAGTGCCATTTGGAAGCAGCATTTCGCCACGCCCTTGACTCACTACTGAACGACTGGATTACTAGTCGCTTCTCGGGTAGTACGTCAAGAAACAACGGGCCAAATGACAGCTGTACAAGACCAAGCCATGAGCTCCTAGCGCCCGGAATCCAAGCAGGATCTTCCTCGGATAGCGGGATCGCTTCGTCTATGAATGGATCAAGCTACAGCTTCAATCCCTACACTGCGGTAATATCAACGACTCATGGAACATCAGCCCAATCTGTCGTTGTCCAGCAACTTGCTGATCAAGCGGAAGTTAATGGCGAACTGGCCCCCTCTACTGGGGTTACGAACGATGACACGGAAATATTCTGGCAAGAATCGGCTGTGGACCGTGGTCTGATGAACGACGTTGCGGATTTCATTGATATTGACGTTTTCGACTTTTAGCCTTTACTAGATAGTGCCTTCATGCCATTGCATCTCCTCGAGCCGGCTTTTCCGGAGGCTAACGATAAGTGAGAGCGTATGCTCATCCTGTGAAAGAATCAAAAGTCATTTTGATGGTTGCAGCATGGTACGCTTTTTTTTTTTTGGTTTTTAAAAAAAAAAGGAAAGAAAAGAAAAAGAAAGGGAGGGGAAAAGAGAGAAAAAAGAAAGCCCCTTAGCCGGAAGGCTAGAACCAACAACACAAGATCGAAGTTGAATGCGTGCCAACTGAATAGATCGGCGGAACGGCAACGGCGCCGATCGCGTAAGGGCCGAACGGTGTGGGGCCGCATGTAGCGGAGTGTATCTCCTGTTTGCACGCCGTGAGCCTGCACAGACGGTTAAGTTCCAAATCTGAGTAGGTAGACTCAAGCGCAAGGAAATGACAGATTCAGTCTTACAGATACAGTGGACTAGGTAGCGAGTTTCCTCGGAATGACGTGCCGGCTGACCCCGTCGGGCACTAGGACCGACAATTCCCAAAAGAGATTCGCTGTGCCGCTTCCTTTCGCTTCAGAAGCAAACAAGCCCCACTCGCGATGCACATACAATGGGTACGCAAGGGACTTCTGATGCTTATCCCCTGGTGCGAGCTTCTGGATTACCTCTTGACAGGGGTGTAAGCAAGAGGACCCTGGTGCCTGATCCAACCCTCAGCTTGTCAGGGATCGCGCGGGGTTGGCAGCAATCCCGTTTGAGACCGACATTCTTGCACAGCCTCAAAGGTGTTTCTCAGATATATCTTCTTTTTGATCACAGTTTCTCCCACATTAGCATTACTAGAAAGCACTGCCTTTTGTTCGGTCCTCCCCTTAACCTCCTCACTGCTCGCCATCAGATACTCACGCCGTCATTTGATTCACTTTCCAATTGTAACATTCGCTATGGCGTATCCCAATAATGTTGGCATCAAGGCCATGGAGATCTATGTCCCCGGCCAGGTTGGTGACTTCAAAGCGGCTCTCCGCAGCATCATACTCGTTCTGGTCCAGCAACTGATTTATATTCTCAGGCCTTGGACCAGTCGCTCTTTGAGCAACATCAGGGCGTCTCAGCAGGAAAATACACCATCGGCCTGGGTCTCAAGTACATGAACTTCTGCAATGACCGTGAAGGTAAGTTCTTATTACGATGCGACAGCCACGCTGCCTCTAGCGGAAGCGCGATTACAGAGTGGTGCTCCGTATGTCCATAACCTACTGACATAATTACCTAAGATGCCACTTCCCTTGCTCTCACGGCAGTTTCATCTCTATTGAAGAAGTACAATATCGACCCCAAGTCCATTGGTCGTCTGGAGGTCGGCACGGAGTCCTTGATCGACAAGGCAAAATCTATCAAGACTGTGCTGACCCAGCTCTTCGAGCCTGCCGGCAACACGAGCCTAGAGGGTATCGACACAATCAACGCGTGCTACGGAGGCACGAGTGCTCTTTTCAATGCCGTCAACTGGGTCGAGTCTCGCTCTTGGGACGGCCGCGATGCAATCGTGGTGGCCTCGGACATTGCTCTCTATAAGGAAGCATCTTCGCGGCCGACCGGCGGCGCCGGCTGTGTCGCCATGCTGGTGGGCCCCGATGCGGTGCTCTCACTGGATCCGGCGCTCAAGGGCACCTTCATGACCCATGCCTATGATTTCTACAAGCCAGATCTCAAGGCAGAGTTCCCTGTAGTCAACGGACACGAGTCTCTCAGATGCTATACCTCGGCGCTGGATGGCTGCTACAACCGTCTTCGGGAGAGAGTCGAGGAGGCCAATGTGAAGGCGAACGGCCACGGTCCCAAGACTGATACGCGCAGCCTGTTGGACATCTTCGACTATATGGCATTCCACACCCCCAACTGCAAGCTTGTCAGCAAGTCTTACGGACGTCTGCTGTACAACGACTACAAGCAGGGTGGTGACGAGGACACCTGGGGGAAGGTCCCCGCCGAGCTCCGCGAGCTCAGCTACGAGGACTCTCTCAAGAGCAAGGAGCTGGAGAAGCTTTTTGTTACCTTGTCCAAGGATCGTTTCAAGTCGCGAGTCGAGCCTTGCATTGCCGCTCCCACACAATGCGGCAACATGTACACAGGCAGTCTTTACTGTTCCCTCATCAGCTTGATTAGTAACATCGACCTGAAGAACTCAGTGGGAAAGACGATTGGCATGTTCAGTGTAAGTGCTCATTTGGTCCTTGCGCTCTCGGAAGCTCTTTTTGTACTAATTGTCATCCCCTATCAGTACGGCAGCGGAATCGCCAGTACTCTGTTCGCGCTTAAGGTCACGGGTGATCTTAGCGAGCTGGTCCAAAAGATTGATATCATGGACCGATTGAGTCAGCGCAAGATCTCGACTCCCGAAGAATATGAAGAGGTAATCTACCATGTTGAATATTATTATTTCAAGCATTTGCTGACCGCATACAACCAGGCTTGCGCCCTCAGATTGAAGGCTTACGGCGCCAAGGGCTTTGAACCCACTGGCAGCATTGAGAACATGGCCCGGGGCACGTACTATCTAACTGAAATCGATGAAGCGTACCGTAGGACTTATGCTGTGAAGGAATAGACAAATGGCGTGCTGGAAAAAAGCGTTTCTCTCTCGTTTTCATCGTCGTCCGATCCAATGCACCCATCAGATGAAATCTAAAACACAAAAGTTAGATAGACTTAGAGCATAAATCAGTGGGCGCTTTCGGATGAACAAATGAATGAATGAGCCCTGGGCAAAGGAATTAACGTTTTTCTTTATTCTCTGTTCGGTCTGGTCTTAGTCAAAATGAAGCACCTGCGGACTCGCTCAGCAAGGTGCTCTGATTACTGCACCGCTGTCACCGTGATGTCGTCTATGAACATGGCATAATCTGGCCCAAAACCACCAACACCATCGCAAAGAAACTCAATCAAGGCTGTAGAGCCAGACGCAATTGCATCCGGTGTGACATTTTCTGCGGGAATAGAAAGTGAAAGCTTGGTATATGCCGTCGTTGTATCGAGGGTTGCATCTTGTTTCAAAAACCACACGGTAACGTAGCAGCCGGGCGTTACCGATTTGGCCCACAGCTCTAGTTGATAGGCCGTGTTGGCGGTGACATCAAAGTCCCGTGATATGTCGATGAACCACCCTGCCTCAACTCCAACAGCGTGGAAGGAGTGTGTTCCTGTATGACTTTCTCCTTCTTTTACGCCACTCGCGTCGGTATCTATACCGCCAGAGCCCTGGAGTCGCCATGGAGACAGCCCATTTTCGAAGCTGGAATTTCCGTCACCTGCGGCAGGGCTTGGAGTAGTTGTAATGGAAGTTGTTGATATGGTGGATGATGCAGGTGATGAAGCAGAAGAAGAGCTCTGACTAGAAGATCCGGTTGCTAACGAGTTCGGTGTCGTTGTGGAAAGAGTAGTAGAGGTCTGACTTGAAGATGATAAGACCATCGATGAGGGCAATGAAGATAGTGTTGAAATTGTCCGTGTTTGACTTGTGGATGACGCAGACGTCGATGAGGATGAGGATGACGACAATCTGCTTGTTGACATGAAGGATTGGATGCTGGATTGACTGGATGAGGCTGCATCGCACCGACCATACTTCGCTTGGCACGAAGTAGGACGGCAATGATCAAGTGTTCTGCCACACTAATCAAGGGCCACGTCAGAAAAGGGCCATCGTGTTAAATCTTCATGGGGGGACTTACATAATTATATCGACTACAGCATTCTCCCCATATGCTTCCCAAACATGTCTGGCCCCCAAAGCTAACACCGCACCGAGAGTTTTGGGAGGCTATTTGTACGGCGGCGGAGGGCGTCGGAGAACGAGAGGAACTCGCAGATGTGCGAGTAGAACTCAGCGAGGACGTAGTGGAAATCGAAGATGAGCGCGTGGAAGTAGGGGAAGTGCGAGTAGATGAAGAGGAGATGGAGGATGAGGAAGGTCTCCCATTACAAGTTCCATATTGGAGTTGACAGCCAGTGCTGCAGTGATCATTCGTGGTTCCACTATGGTCTTGGGTCAGCGTCGAACGGGGTAGCGTAAACACATCTCGCTTACCACCATCCATACTGTGAGCAACATGAGCCAAACTTGCTGTTCAGACATGTTGTTCCATAGGGTTTCCCGCACCGAGCGTCTGTCGATATGCTCGCAGCGTCAACGATAAAAGTGAAAAGCAACACTGCCAGGATTTGGAAATGCATCGTAAGTTTGCGTTGATGGCAACTACCTCAGCGAGAGAATGTTGACCGAGTTGAATGACCACTTCCTCAACTAGAGAAATGCGAAAGATATTATATAAGATGACTACAAAGCTAGGAACCGAAGCCAACACTGGGAGCGCAAGTGGCAAAAGTGGCTTGCACAGGTGTCAATAAGACTGCCGATATTTACTGAATCGAGAAGGGCTAGACCACCTCAACGGGCTCATGATACCTTATTTCCGAGCCAAGCAAGTCATTGTCTTTCATTCCTTCTTTGATAGTTCGCTTTGTTTGGCGCATTAGCCGTGCTAAGCCCCATCGCAGAGTTCTGCTTCCCTCATCGCTTTGATTTCGACAACGTCTAGGCTTTTGCCACTTGAACGCTAGTAAGTAGCTGGGCGTTGCCTCGTGGCAAAGAGACCCAGGCGAGAATATCACAAGCCTCAACTTCTGACGCTGCAGCCTGCAGGAGACTCGCAAGTGCGATTCTGTGGTGGCAAACATCAATAGCAGTATTTAAGCTTCATTGACAGCAAGCCTTTCCGTAGTCTCGAGTACAGGGAGCGCAGATCATTGTATAAAGAAGCTAGTGGCTGCTGGAATTGCTGAACAACGTGGCGTCTAAGCTTTGACTGGTCAGCCACAACTAGTGCAGATCAGGAATCGACGAACAGCTTGTAACTAGGGTTTATTTATGCTTCCTCTCACCTTATTTCTTCATATTTCGACTTGAAGGTCCGATGGCAGCTGGTACTGGGCCCGTATCTCGCATGTGGTGATCATTGGCAAGCTCTCTTTAGACCAAAAGTTCATATATGGTCAACACCCACTGACCGTGGACTCAAATTCAAGCAATCATTCCCGATCAGAGCAAATTCCTTTCTAAGAAGTCTAAGAAGGAGTTTTCTGAAGAGCAATGGTGGTTTGCGATTTGGGACATAATCTTCCAATTGTCTTCCCAGGGATAGAACGTCTAAGCTCACTTCACCCTGATCTAGGAATGGAGACTGAGATTGCAGCTTTTCGTGAGTACCGTCGAGAGCACAAGCGGGGCATCATTGAGAACCTGCTAAATAGCGTGATTGCGGATCCATCAATATCTGAAGACAGACAGAAACAGCTGGCTCGAACGATGCTCGTTGAAGGCCTCGACGTATTATTCAGCCAATGGATCCCACGCCACTGATTAGGTAACGTGGCACCGCAGTACATCACAGCCCTTCAAACACTCGCTACGTTTCTCGGCGATAGTGCCTTATCAGCAGGCAATCTTTCCGGTAACAATTTGGCCCATCCTGGGCTGTTCACGGCATCAAATAGTGTATCAGACGCGTCCCAGCTACAATCTTCCAGCGACACATTGTCCTGTGTGGACAAGCCAGAACTTTTATAGATAGAGGTAAAATATGGCCGAATGGATGTCAAGATTTTGAACAGCCTTCCTTAAGAACCATCGGACGGATTCTCCTTGGACGCTTACGCCAGAATGCTCCGGGGAGGTGACGAGTTGGGGACTTTCTCTTTTCATATGCTAGAGATACTTCCTCCTGACATTGGGCAGGCATGATGCGGCACTTGAAAAAGCTCTAATATCAAAATCGACTTCTCGCCCTTCTCAACTCCAATTATCCTCATCATCCTCTAACAACCATTGCCTAAGTAGACTACCTCACGGCTGTATGCAATGCAAAAAGCCCCATGCTTGTTCCCAGATACCCAGCAAGAGGCAACTGGCGGCTCATCCCCGATAACTATCGCAAGTTTGTCTTGGCCAAGTGGGCGGTCAGTGTTTGAAGGCAGTGATCACCAGTAGACCATAACCAGTAGTCCATAACCTCAGGAAGACTTTTATGAATCGTATTGTTTGCGATCATGAACGAATGCTTGCTTCCGATCACGAGGACAACTCTCTCAGGTTACCCCAAGGGCACATGACGTTCTTGACATGGCTGTCGCATCGACCCCATACGATGTACACCGCCGACTACTCAACTCACGAGACCTTCGCATCTCACCAAGTGCAGTACAGTACTGGCAACCCCACGTGCGCAAAGCGACCAATCACGTTCAGCGGTAACACTTCCCATATCACGTTAATTAAAGCACAAATTGAGATCAAGCCTCTTTCGGGTAAAATTGTAGAGAACAGATTTCCGGGGTTAGACCAGTTTGAGGATTCTGACTCGCGCAGAGATAAGGACAGGAGGTTCTGGAACGTGATGAAGGAACACGTACCCGTCTTCGAATTACGCACTTGTTCCCTCCTCTTCGTTCTAACAAAGTTCATGAAGCGCAAATCACGGACCTGGAGTAAATCGATCGCCAACCGTCGGCAATAGTAGCAGCATGACTACCCACGCATCAACAACAGTGGATATTCCCTATGTCAAACGGAACGATGACGGCAACATCCCAAATCATGCGCAGATGTTTTCTCACGATGCCGAGTTTCTCGATGTTCAGCCAGCGGAGGTTTCCAATGCCCGGACGACCGATCGAGAGTTTTCAATATCAAGCAACGGATTCCAATACGCGCGACTGAATGAACCGCCTCAAATCGACTACTTGGACGAGGATCAAGTCAGGAAATTGTACTTTCCGGAGCTTGAGAGGCTGCTGAAGAAAGAGTATGCTATTAATGTTTCCTCACGGCCAGACACGATGCTACCTTAGCTTATGATGTGTTGATGCTGACGAATTTGACTTCATATGGCAGGCTTGGCGCTTCTGAAGTAAAAGCATTTCATCACGTGGTGCGCAACGTGACCTACAAGGACGGAATGGTATACACCCGAAAGCACCGCTGTCCAGCCCGGAGACCTCACGTCGACGTCACCGACAAGTTCGCGCCGATCTTGATGAGTTGGGACTGCCCAGATATGCATGCGGATGTGCATGCCAATAGGAAGCACTGGCAAATGGTCAACGCGTGGCGGCCGCTGAAGACGGTGCGCAAGAACCCCGTAACCGTCGCCGACACCGCTTCGATGGCGTGGGAGGATTACTTGACCGTTCCTCAGCCAGAGGTTGGGCCTGGTGTTGAGGGATTCTGGCTGCAAAGACCGCAGGATGCGGATCGGAAACACGATTGGTGGTACATGGCGGACCAAACGCCCGAAGAGGTGTTGCTCTTCCTGCAACACGATTCTGAGGGGGCTCAAGTGGTTGCTCATACATCGTTTACGCAGCCAGGACCGGTTCCGAAAGAGCCCAGAGAGAGTATTGAAGTTAGATTGTTTGTTGTTTACTAATGATAATTGAAGGAGATCACATCACACCCGGCAATGAGGGTTTGTTGCTCACCATTTGTCATCTGTTTTGATTGTATGGATTTAACCATGACAAACTCTTTGAGAACATTGGGTTTCGTGGATGGCTCTCCTTTGCGGGATCAGCTTTGTCGTTTGGGTCTGTCAAATGATTATCGATTGCTACAATGTGATGAAAGAGTTTCAAAGCTAGTCCTGTTGGGGTTACTGACTTAGGCATGGGCATGAGATTTGCCCTGCCGGCCACTCTGTGGCATGTTTTGAGCGCCATTCATGTCCTGAACTGGAAGTCATCTTTCTTCAAGAAGTCCGGCAACCGTGAACAGGACATCTCAAAGATGTAATCTTTGACCAAGACTTGTGGAATAAGATCCAAGATGGTAGACTCTCCTCGAAAGGCATAGAGGCGGTCTTTGTACCTTATGACAAGAATCAATCAGAGCCGGCTGCCTAAGTCTTACAGAGACCCGCGCCTTTTTAAGGCGACAAATTTCGGCAATCTTGAACTTCAACTTCTACTTTGATCGCCGTATCGACGAAGCTTACGGAAAGCAACATACTCGAGTTGTTAAGCGAAAACGACTCATTGCATGTACCCAACATACCATGGGCCCAGTGTCGCGGTTTCCCCAGCTTTGGGAAGACCTGCTCTCGCCGTCTCCCGCGGCTCCTGCGTCCCGGTTGGATCAGCTTTGGGAAGAGTCCCTCTGGCCCGAGTACACAATCCGCAGGATCGCGCGTGCAACAAACAACACACCAGAGCCGTTTAGATGTGTCTTTCTGGCGTCAGTGTCCCTTCAGAAATCTGTGAGTATGTAGCTGACAGGTGTACCAGCGAGGTAACAGACTACATCGATCCCGCGGAGGAAGAAAGACGGCGGCGAGTCCAGAACGCCATCATCCGGGCGCGGGGAAAAGCAGAGCTGGAATCCCGCATCAACCAGTTGCAGATCCGCTGGAACCGCAACTCGCCCCTCTTCTGTATGCCCAAAGAGGTCAGGGACATGATATACGACTTCCTTTTACTGGACACGCCCCGACAAGAGTTCATCAGCCTGGAAGTCAACAACACACGACATTCGCGTGGGATACGCAGACTTCGGCACCTGCTTCAAGTCTGCCATGATTTCAGGGACGAGCTTCTGAGCCGCTTTCTCGGTCTGAATATCGTCAGAATGTCGCTGCATGCTTCAGACTTCTCCGCCAGCTTCCCCCACATCCGCAGAGCGACGAAGCCCGTCGCTCCAAGACCCATATTTATGGCTTTCCTGGGACGAGTCAAGCGCTTCTCGTTGCACCACGAGGGAGGCGGCATGCCGTTTTGGAAGGACACGACTGTGAAAGCGGGCCTGTTGCTGGCTCAGTCGATGCCTCAACTCCACGAGTTGACAATCTACCCGACAGAGGAGACGACGCACCTCGATGGAGAATTTGCGTTGTTTGTACTGCATGTTTTGACGAGCCCAAGTCTCAATAAGCTCATCTTCTTTGATACGTTTGACGTTGTCGAAGAGGGTGACTTTGAGTGGGCTAAAGATACGGAGTCAACGTGTCGGATCGAGGTGGCCTGCCTGGGGTCAGACGAACCTGCCCCACGACCTGCGAGATGCAAGGGGCGCTTCTTGTTGTCTGTGCGAGAGAGATGCTTCAGCATGATGGGGATTCAATTCAAAATTCAGCCAAGTCTATCGGAGAATAACCACGTCAAATTTGTCATCGACTGAAATGTCGACGTCCTGGTCTGGCTTCACTCAGGTGGCTCGCTTGATCTTGGTGCCGATGGACTGTGGGACTATTCAAGAGTGGAAGTCATATGCCGTACACGTCTTTGGATTGGCTTCAAATGATAAACTTGATTCTTCGTTCTCACATTGTGGAAGCTGTTTCTCATCATCAACGTGTTAAACTGCCGAACTTCAGATCAAGTTGTTCAGATTAACTTGAACTGCAACTTGAGAGCTTGGATATGTAAAGTGCGATACTAAAACTAGAAGTCCTTGACGTTATCTGAGTGACGTTACGTCCAGCAGGCATTGCACGTGACTTTCTGAGTCTACTTGAACAGTCTCCCTTCCAAGTCAGTCCACAAAACCAGACTGGAATTGGTGAGCATCAACATGAAGACAACTTCCCCACGGGGTCACGTCCACAGAAACACAACACGCGTTTGGCCAAGGAAACTGCCGAGCACGCTGACAGGTCACCTTCACAGATAAGCAACGCGGCGCGAAACTCTCTCTGCGGCACAGACTGCAACGCTTCAATGCCCGCTATTACTCGTCATCCCATCCCCCCTCATCCATCCGTGTCAATATCAACAGACTCGAGCTGAACGCGGGGTTGTGGGAGCACTGAGCAGGTCTGTGTATATCACCCCCACAAACCGGGTGCGGATTGCGACATGGGCAGTCTGCGTCCCACCCTGTCGTGATTACATCATCACCAAGAGAAAGAGAGACGATCATCATCGGGTTGCAGTTGTTGCCCGGGCTGGCCGGGGTCCGCAGTCGCCCGCCCGGATCGACAGAGGGGCGCGCGACGGACGGTTCGGTTGGGTGGTGGCCCTGCCTTATCGAACGCGCGGAAGCCGTTGGAGGCGGTGGGATACCTACCCTTTGCTTTTCCCCCCAGACGCATAGAATTCGGCAACCACTTCGTCAAAGATTTCGTGTTTCTGCGAGTGGGATGGGTGGCGGGCTGAGGCTGACCGCTGATGGTCGCATCATGATGGGCACTCTACATGAAGCAGCATCTGGAGAAGAAGCAATCTCGTGTGAGAGCTTGGCCTCGAAGCGGTCCGCATGTGATCGACAATCAAGTTGGGGCCCTTATCAACGCCAGATTCGCTGCTGCCGCCGCCGTTGATCCGGGTAGCAGCAGCACGGCAGAAGAGTGGTGTTGTGTGACCGCGTGGCGCGACATAAGCTCATCTGTAAGATTACCTAAAAATAGAATCGTGTTGGTGGTGTTTTTTTCTCCTACGTCGCAACGAGTCGTAATAAAAGTCCCGAGGCCACTTGCGAGACGCAGGAAATTGGAGAAGAGAAGGAAAAACGAATGCACCGCGTACACCACGCCGTCGTCGTATGTAATCAGATCTTCAAAGACAGACAGCCTGATGGCACTGCACTGTGGCAATTGTGTGCGCAACACACGAAAGACAGGGCCAAGAGGCAACCTAGCCATCACTCGTTCTCAGTGGGAAAAAAACAGGTTCCCTGCCCCCTGACAAACCTTAACGACTCAGGGGGGCGCCGCACTTGGCGCCGTCGTTGACGAGCAACACTCAGACTACCAAAACTCAATTTGCCTTGTGGCCGCGGTTCGTCTGAAGATGCTTGGCATTCCGGTCTTGGCAGAAAATCTTGGGGCGGTCAAGAAGGAACATAGGATGGGGATCAACAGAAGAGGGAATGATGAAAGGGCACGGCTGGGCGGTCTTTTTGACACACGGGACGCGGACGTCTTGTCCTTGCGAACGGGTGCTGTCCACGAGGGAAGAGGAGCAGCCCGAATTTCAGTTAAATGACACTGACAGTATGACACTGTGTTGTTTATTTCATCCAATGTCCCAGAGTTCATGCCGCGGACGGAGCTGCGCACGGGGATGGATGGATGATGGGGGTGTGGTAGGTTGCAATGTGCGCGCAACACCCCCACCGCGGCGACGCGGCAAAGCCGAAGGCAAGGCAGGGAGAAGAAGGCGAATGGAAGGCAGCCGGCCCTCTGTCGTTATCCACCGTCCATGCCAAGGGTGATCGAGGCAGCCCCCGGGAATCCGACGTGACCCGTCCGTCACATCCTCGCTTTCTCTAGGCGGCTGCACTGCGGCGGCCGGGAGACGGCCGCGGTTGGCTGCTTTCTTGATCGCTGCGTCGTACGGTGAACACAGGCCAGTTCGACCGAAGCCCCTATCTATGAGACCCCCAGCAACCGCTGATAGCGGCGGCCGTTCAGGGCGGCGCTGCTGCTGGCAACGGTTGAGCGACCGACCGGCACATGGGAGACAAAGGAAAGCAGAGACAGAAGAGAGAGAAGAATGGTAGGCGGAAAAGAAGGAAGAGATGGCTTGCGGCACCATTGGGGCGCAGATCTCGCCGTTCCGTCAAGCCAGCCGGATCGGCGTTTTGTCCGGACGCAAATTCTCTTTTATTCGTACTTGGGATAGGTACGAACACAGGTGGCAGCTTAGCTTAGGTAGCTAGGGGCGTATCTGCAAAACGAGGAACACGGATGAATTGCGAGGCGCGAACGTTTTAGCACACATGTTCGAGCGGACGAACGAACTGATGCCGGTGACGAGTGGGATACAGGCAGCTGTTGCTGCTAGTGACACCTTGTCTTGGACCCAGCCTCCCGCAAGCCACGACCGACAGGCAACTGCACCAGAAAATGGCACCGGTCGCAGAATCTATTTCGACGCACTTGAAACCATTGAGGAAGCCAGTAATAATGAGGAGCATTTCTCGGGGGAACGACGCGATGGATAAGGCCATCGAAACTATTGAACCGACTTTGCCAAGAACTTTCTAAAGCGGTCACATTCTTTGGGTGTTACGAAGAGTGATCGCTGATTTCTGAGACAAGACCATTTTATGAAGTTTTTATGAGTTATATTCTCTGTTTTGAACAAAAAGATATTTATGAATGATGATGTTCGTCCTCTCTCTCATCCCTTCCAGCAGGGTGTGTTGGAAGACCCTCATCAGCGCCACCCGTTCCGCCCCATTGGTTTGCGTAAATTCTATACTGATCTATGTGCAGTAGTTTACAGGCATTACATTATCGTGACAGTCATCCTGTGGTTTTGTACGTTGTGTATGCCGCATTGTTGTGTGTGATGTGTGCGTTTGTGCATGCTTTGTGTAAATGCGTCATTTGTAGCCCGCCCCTCTCCCAAATTCCCGGTTCGGAGCAACATTCGCTGCCTGCGCCCATTTGTGTAACTGATAAAACAAAAATGCGTATGTGTGTGTTGAGAAAAAGAATTGCAACCGGTAAATTTTCCGCGGCAGTAACGAAGGAAGAATCCAATCTAGAAGAAGAAAGAGCAGACGAAGATGAGGATGGTGTACGCCGTCGTGATGGTCAGCTCGGTCTCGAACCAGGCCGCCTGGCCGCCGAAGGCGATCTTCTTGCTGCCGGGCGACGGGTGCGCGACGAAGGTCTTGGGGTCGCGATCGAGCAGGGCCTCGCGGTCGGGCATGTTGGGCGGGTCGATGGCGTAGGCGATGGGCGTCCACAGGGAGCTGCAGATGAAGATGAAGGTCAGGGGCGGCCAGAAGGCGTGGGTGATGAGGCTGATGAGCAGGTCGCGCAGGTCGCTGTTGAGGTAGAAGGACTTGTACGAGGTGAGGACGACGCCGACGAGGGTGAGGTAGACGAAGGACAGGTGGAAGATGGCCATGTAGTTGATGAGGACGCCCCAGAGGCGGCGGAACATGTTCTTGCGGGTCTTGGGGTCGCGCTCGTTGAGGGCGGAGCCGAGGGAGCCGGTGGGCTTGAAGGCCTGGGTCTGGCCGCCGAGCCAGGTGGGCAGGATGAAGGAGCGGATGATGCAGAGGGCGATGTAGGGCGACATCCAGAGCTGGTAGCGGGAGCCGCGCTGGCCGGTGTGGTAGCCTGCCGGGATGAAGAGGGCGAACTCGCAGAGGCGGTTGGACACGGTGGCGGCGAAACAGGCGCGGATGAGCCAGCGGAGCTGCTCGTAGTTGGCGTAGGCGACGAGGGGCTTGCCCATGACCAGGATGATGGGGATGGCGAACATGGAGATGGTCAGGAGGATGGTGTACAAGCTGAGCGTCGCGTACAGGAAGCCGGAGAAGCGCTGGGCGGCCGTCATGTTCTTGACCTTGTCGCCCCACAGGCAGAAGTTGAGCTTGAACGAGGTGTCGACGGTTCCGATGGCCCAGCGGGTGCGCTGCTTGAGATGGCCGCCATAGTCCTCGGGGACGGTGCCGAACTGGAGGGGCTCGTGGATGTAGGCCGTCTTCCAGCCCTTGCCAAGCATCAGAGTCGAAGTCGCGACGTCCTCGGCCAGGGAGCCGAGGGGGAAGTTGCCAATCTCATCGAGGGCCTCGCGGCGGACGACGTAGCCGGAACCGGTGCACCAGGCGACGCCGAGGGCGTCCTTGACGGGCTCGATGACGTGAACGAAGAAGTCCAAACTCTGGGCCAGCGGGTCGGAGGGCGGGGTGTTGTAGAAGAGCTGCGGGGGACAGGCGAGAGCCACCTTCGGGTCGATGAGCATGTGAGGCAGAATGGCACGGAGCCAGTCGCGCTCGGGGATCTGCAGGCACGGAGTTTATTAGTTGGGGTGAACGTGGGTAGAAACATGAAAAAGCTTATTGCACGGATGAGGGGTGATGAGAGTGAGAGTGAGCTGAGATCAGATGAACACGTACCATGTCGGCGTCGAGAGCAGCCATGAACTGGCCGGCACCTCCGGGCATGGTGTGGACATAGTCGAGAGCATGGTTGAGGTTACCGGCCTTAAAGTGGTGAGGAACTCCGGGATACTTCGGGCGGGCGAGGTAGAAGACGTTCGGGTAGGTCATGGCCAAGGCGGCGATGCCGGCCTCCAGACCGGCCGACTTGCCGTCGTCGCACACGATGACACGGAACCGGTCGCGGGGGTAGTCAATGTCGCAGGCGGCGCGGACGGTGTCGAGGACCAGGTCGTCCTCCTCGCCGCAGCATGTCACCAAGGCGTCGACCGTGGGGA